TGGGATCAAAGAAGATTTTAAATAACAAACCAATACTTCTGTCAAATAATGATTGTCTGCTTTCAGCCTCTGACACTGCTTTTGAGTTCAATAGGTTCTCCTCATCCATTGGGTCATTCATTGCAAATGATATTCCATCTTCCAGTACTAATATTCAGGACTATCTTATAGGTAACAATCCAGTCTCTGTACCTAATGCCTACTAATGCCACTGATGTTACTGACATAATCCTTTCTCTTAGATTCAGATGTTCAGATTCAGATTCAGATGTTTATTCAGGTAAGGTATATACATACAAGTGATGTTACATTAATGGATTGATATATAGATAGAGCTAGTACATACAATGCCTAAAGCCACTATTACGCAATGCGTTTCGGGCAAGAAAAAACATTAATATCTAGAACTTAATACTAATTGAGCATAAAGAATAAAAGATGTTGAGAACAAATACAAATAAAGATAAAAAAAAAAAAGGGGGAACATGACTGAAAAAGCAGCACAAATACAATAGGTTGACAAACAGTGTTGATTAAAAAAAAAGAAAAAAAAAAGAAAATAACAGACATGGGTTGACAATAGAGGAGTGAGGTAGATTACAGGGAATTTATTAGGTAGTGTTTAGTTTTTATCTTAAACTGGTTGAGAGAGGTACAGTCTTTAACATGGTTGGGAAGGTCATTCCACATTCTGGGCCCCTTGATTTGCAGAGCATTTCTAGTTTGATTAAGACGTACTCTAGGAATATCAAAACTGTATTTATTTCTGGTGTGGTGCTCATGGGTTCTGTTACAACCTTCTATGAAGCATTTAAGATCAGGATTGGCATTATAGTTTAGCGTTTTATATATGTATAATACACATGAGAGAATGTGCAGTGACTTAATATCTAACATATTAAGAGATTTGAGTAGGGGTACCGAGTGATGTCTGGGGCCAGAGTTGGATATAGTTCTAATAGCAGCTTTGTGTTGGGTAATTAGAGGACGTAAGTGATTTTGGGTAGTAGAACCCCAAGCACAAATACCATAGTTGAGATAAGGATAGATAAGGGAGTAATAGAGAGTCACCAGAGCAGGGCGTGGTACATAATATCTGATCTTAGAAAGAATGCCCACAGTTTTTGAAACTTTTTTTGATATATTTAGAATGTGTCCCTGGAAATTCAGCTTGTGGTCAATGAGAATGCCAAGGAATTTGCCATCTAATTTGTTACAAATTTGGGTATTGTTTATTTTGAGATTTATAAGACTAGAGGATTTATTGCCAAACAGAATATAGAAGGTTTTGTCAATGTTAAGGGTGAGTTTGTTGGCAGTTAGCCAAAGATGGACTTTATTTAGCTCAGTATTTACTGTGGCATTTAGAGCAAGAGGGTCAGGACTGGAGTAAATGAAGGTTGTGTCGTCAGCAAATAGGATTGGTTTGAGGTGTTGGGAGGCATTTGGAAGGTCATTAATGTAGATGAGAAAGAGGAGAGGGCCAAGTATGCTGCCCTGAGGAACACCAATGTTGATGGGTAGGGTGGGAGAAATTGTATTATTCACAGAAACATATTGGGCACTTCTCACCAACATATTGGGCACAAACATGGGCACTTAAAACCAAGTCTAGTGCCCATGAGGAGATACCAACTCTTATTTATTGGGCACATCTCACCAACATATTGGGCACAAACATGGGCACTTAAAACCAAGTCTATAGCCATATTGGGCACATCTCACCAACATATTGGGCACAAACATGGGCACTTAAAACCAAGTCTAGTGCCCATGAGGAGATACCAACTCTTATTTACAAAAAAGCCTCCAGATTATTAGCTCCTGCCATTGCATTGCTCTTCAACAAGTCACTTGAACTCTAAACCTTTCCAGATATTCTAAAAATGAGAGAGTAACCCCTGTCCACAAATGTGGTGATCCCACTGATGTTAACAACTTCAGACCTATATCAGTTCTGCCAAACTTGTCTAAAATATTTGAAAAACTTATCTACAAGCAGCTTTACTCTTATCTAGCCAAACACAATATACTTAGCTCTTGTCAATATGGCTTCAGACCCCAAAAAAGCACTAACGATGCACTTATTAGTATGATTAACTTTTGCTACATGCAGCTCTTGATAAAAATGAGTTCCCTATTGGGTTATTTGTGGACCTGCGTAAGGCTTTTGACACTGTCAACCACCAAAACCTTCTTCTTAAATTACAACATTATGGAGTCAGAGGTCACTCCATGCAGTACCTTAAGTCTTACCTTACTGACAGGCTCCAATATGTTTATGTGAATATTTCAATTTCTCCCACCCTACCCATCAACATTGGTGTTCCCCAGGGAAGCATACTTGGCCCTCTCCTCTTTCTCATCTACATTAATGACCTCCCAAATGCCTCCCAACATCTCAAACCAATTTTATTTGCTGACGACAGGACCTTCATTTACTCCAGTCCTGACCCCTTTGCTCTAAATATCACAGTGAATACTGAGCTAAATAAAGTCCATCACTGACTCACTGCCAACAAACTCACTCTCAATATTGACAAAACTTTCTATATTTTGTTTGACAATAAATCCTCAAATCAAATAAATCTCAGGATTAACGATACCCAAATTTGTAACAAAGTAGATGGCAAATTCCTTGGCGTTCTCATTGATCGCAAGCTGAATTTCCAGGGACACATTCTAATTATATCAAAAAAAGTTTCAAAAGCTGTTGGCATTCTTTCTAAGATCAGATATTATGTACCTCGCCCTGCCCTGGTGACACTATTACTCTCTCATCTGTCCTTATCTCAACTATGTTATTTGTGCTTGGGGTTCTACTACCGAAAATCATTTACGTTCTCTAATTACCCAACACAAAGCTACTATTAGGACAATCTCTAACTCTGGCCCCAGACATCACTCGGTACCCCACTCAAATCTCTGAATATGTTAGATATTAAGTCACTGCACATCCTCTCATGTGTATTTTATATATAGAAAAACGCTGAACTGTAATGTCAATCCTGGCCTTAAAAGCTTCCTAGAAGGTTGTAACAGATCCCATGAGCACCACACCAGAAACAAATACCTATTTGATATTCCAAGAGTACGACTTAGTCAAACTAGAAATGCTTTACAAATCAAGGAACCTCGAATGTGGAATGACCTTCCCAATTATGTTAAAGACTGTACCTCTCCCAACCAGTTTAAGATAAAAACTAAGTACCACCTAATTAACTCAATGTAACTACCTCACCCCTAAATGTCAACCCATGTCTACGATTTTTAACAATGCTGTTTGTTGACCAAATTGTATTTTTGTTTTTTTCTGCCATGTTTCACTCCCCTTTTTTTCATTTTTTTCTGATTTTTTCACAACACAATTTATATTTTAATCTTAGTTAGTATTAAGTTTTAGTCTTAGTGTTTTTCCTGCCCGAAACGCTTTGCGTAATAGTGGCTTTAGGCTTTGTATGTACTACCTCTATCTATGAATCCATCAACTTTTGTATTTCACCTTGTATGTATGTACTTTACCTGAATAAATATTTGTATTTGTTTCCACTATCGCCCACAAAATGGGTATGGGGTGCCTAATAAATGAACTAAACTAAAACGTTCTTTCTTCACTGTTTCATACTGTCATACTTCCAAACAGTACAAGAATGTACAAGAATATAACAACTCTTGTATATATCTCAAAAAAAAAAATCTTGCCACTCTTTCTTTTGAGTGATTTTATCCTGCTGTCGTAGAAGATATCAATGTTAATAGTGGACGCATCACTACAAGTCGCACTGCACCGTTGCTCGGCACTGGGTTGGGTGCAGCTCTCTGAGCCGGACACCTCTTCACTTTTGCTGTTTTTATCAAAATTCAAACATGTTGCATCAGCGGGGCCTTATGTCTGCATGAGGTACAAACACACTTCCTACACTAGGATCGCTGGTGGTTTGATTCGCAACACTGTGGTGGGGAAGTTGCACCATCTTCTGACCTTAAACTCTTCCTAGAAAGTTGTAACAGAATCCATGAGCACCACACCAGAAACAAATACCTATTTGATATTCCAAGAGTGCGACTTAATCAAACTAGAAATGCTCTACAAATCAAGGGATCCAGAATGTGGAATGACCTTCCCAATCATGTCAAAGGCTGTACCTCTCTCAACTAGTTTAAGAGAAAAACTAAGTATTACCTATAAATAAATAAATAAATAAATGTTTATTTAGGTAAGGTACATACATAAAGAGATTTTACAGAGTTTGTTGGATTAATAAATAGAGCTAGTACATACAATGCCTAAAGCCACTATTAAGCAAAGCGTTTCGGGCAGGAAAAACATTAATGACTAAAGTTTAATACTAATGGGTAAAAAGAATAAAATGTGTTGAGAACAAATAAAAATAGAGGTAAAAGAGGGGGAACATGGCTGAAAAAGCAGCACAAATACAATTAACAAATTATTACAGAAAATTACATTCAAACAGCGTTGTTTTGAAAAAAAAAAACATACATGGGTTGACAACAGAGGGGTAAGGTAGGTTACAGGGAATTTATTAGGTAGTGCTTCGTTTTTAACTTAAACTGGTTGAGAGAGGTACTGTCTTTAACTAACTTTAATTAACTTTAACCTAACTAACTCCATGTAACCTTCCTTACCCCCTAAATGCCAACCCATGTCTTACTATTTTAAACAATGCTGTTTGTTGAACAACTTGTACAATTGCTGATTTCTGCCATGTTCCCCCCCTTTTTTATTATTCCTTTTTTTAACACAATTTATACTTTAATCTCAATTACTATTAAGTTTTAGTCTGTCTTTTTTCCCCCCCACACCTTGCCCGGAACGCCATGCGTATTAGTGGCTTTAGGTATTGTATGTACTAGCCCTATCTATAAATCCAACATTATGTTTGTAACTCATCTTCTATGTATGTACTTTTACCTGCATAAAATTTTAAATTTTAAATTTGAATTTGATCTATTGTGATTGTTGTGTAAGTTTTTTGGGGTCATTGAGACGATGACCAATTGAACCGAGAATCAACTGGAGTTTTTCCAATATTATCCATTTTTTCACTCAGTTCCTGTGCAGCACCACTCATGGGAGATGTGGTCGTGATGGTCTCCTTAGGTGCATCATCAGAGTCAGCTGGAGCAGTACCACTCAGGGGAGATGTGGTCGTGATGGTCTCCTCAGGTGCAGCATCAGAGTCAGCTGGAGCAGCACCACTCAGGGGAGATGTGGTCGTGATGGTCTCCTCAGGTGCAGCATCAGAGTCAGCTGGAGCAGCACCACTCAAGGAAGGAGATGTGGTCGTGATGGTCTCCCCAGGTGCAGCATCAGAGTCAGCTGGAACAGCACCACTCAGGGGAGATGTGGTCGTGATGGTCTCCTCAGGTGCAGCATCAGAGTCAGCTGGAGCAGTACCACTCAGGGGAGCTGTGGTCGTGATGGTCTCCCCAGGTGCAGCATCAGAGTCAGCTGGAGCAGTACCACTCAGGGGAGGAGATGTGGTCGTGATGGTCTCCCCAGGTGCAGCATCAGAGTCAGCTGGAGCAGTACCACTCAGGGGAGGAGATGTGGTCGTGATGGTCTCCCCAGGTGCAGCATCAGAGTCAGCTGGAGCAGCACCACTCAGGGGAGGAGATGTGGTCGTGATGGTCTCCCCAGGTGCAGCATCAGAGTCAGCTGGAACAGCACCACTCAGGGGAGCTGTGGTCGTGATGGTCTCCTCAGGTGCAGCATCAGAGTCAGCTGGAGCAGTACCACTCAGGGGAGGAGATGTGGTCGTGATGGTCTCCCCAGGTGCAGCATCAGAGTCAGCTGGAGCAGCACCACTCAGGGGAGATGTGGTCGTGATGGTCTCCTCAGGTGCAGCATCAGAGTCAGCTGGAGCAGCACCACTCAGGGGAGATGTGGTCGTGATGGTCTCCCCAGGTGCAGCATCAGAGTCAGCTGGTGCAGCACCACTCAGGGGAGATGTGGTTGCCATGGTCTCCTCAGGCGCAGCGTCGGGGGTCAGCTGGTGCTTCAGTAGCAGGTTGCACTAAGCGGGTGGGTCCACTCCCAGCTGAGTTTGTGGCCAGGGGGTGTTTGCGTCGTCCCCGACTGCATTCATAATGCCAGGCATTAACACCCTCCTTTCCGCATCTTGTGCATTTCACGGGAGGCCTATTGGCTTCCTCATTTTGAAACGGTGCGCGTATTATAGTGGCTTCAGACATTGTAAATACTAGCTCTATCTATTAATCCGACATTATGTTTGTAACTCATTTTCAAAGTATGTACCTTTACCTGAATAAATATCTTATATCCTTTAGTTAGTTAATTTAGTTAATTTATTATGCACCCCCATACCCATCCTGTGGGCGGTTGTAGTAAAGGGTTACAGGGGCACATAGCCCCATTTAAATTGTGGGGCTCAGGGACTGAACCCCACAATTCATTTAGCTAAGCAAGTTACAATCTTGATGAGCTAGTTATAAAATTTTGAATCGTTCTTATATCTTAAACGGGGACGGGATATTTCTGTGTTGATTGCAGGGGGGGGGGACGCCCCCGCTGGATATATCAACGCCATCTTTTGAGTAAAAGTAAAACAAGTTGAGGTGCCAGCGACCTATATATATTTGACCGGATCTTTCTCGAATTTTCGATGGGGACAGTTTTGAAAAGTGTTTACAAGTGTGCAGCCGAGGTCGGGTGTGCTCGGGAGTACTTTCTGCAAGCTGCACATATTGCACAGGGAGAGAAGCACCTGCCAGTGTGTGCTCGACGGACTTAGCTGCTCCACAGGTGGCTGGAGGCTGAGCTTCCATTACCAGTACCTTTACTCGTTATCACTAACCTTAGTATGACATTCGTTTACTGTTACTGCAGGTTAAACAGCTTTTTCTGCCAACGTTACACCAAATAATATCCACTAATCTGCGGATTGTGTTTTTTTTATTATATACCAAAGTGTACGTGATAGTAGAGAAAAGGTATTTGAGACTTAGAATTACAGTTTATACAAACATTATATATAATATATATTTATATATAATTATACGTATATATATAATATATATAATATACATTTTTTTCTCAAGGTGACCATTCATGAGATAAGTGATCCTTTCACTGCTGGAGTGTAGGTCCAGACAAGGCTGGAGTCTTGGGGAGGGCTTGTGGCCAGGTGAGGCTCGAGTGTGGGGGGGAGGAAAAGGTGCCTGTGGCCAGGTGAGGCTGGAGTCTTGGGGAGGGGGTGGTGTGCCTGTGGCCAGGTGAGGCTGGAGTCTTGGGGAGGGGGTGGTGTGCCTGTGGCCAGGTGAGGCTGGAGTCTTGGGGAGGGGTAGTGTGCCTGTGGCCAGGTGAGGCTGGAGTCTTGGGGAGGGGGTAGTGTGCCTGTGGCCAGGTGAGGCTGGAGTCTTGGGGAGGGGGTAGTGTGCCTGTGGCCAGGTGAGGCTGGAGTCTTGGGGAGGGGGTGGTGTGCCTGTGGCCAGGTGAGGCTGGAGTCTTGGGGAGGGGGTGGTGTGCCTGTGGCCAGGTGAGGCTGGAGTCTTGGGGAGGGGGTAGTGTGCCTGTGGCCAGGTGAGGCTGGAGTCTTGGGGAGGGGGTGGTGTGCCTGTGGCCAGGTGAGGCTGGAGTCTTGGGGAGGGGGTGGTGTGCCTGTGGCCAGGTGAGGCTGGAGTCTTGGGGAGGGGGTAGTGTGCCTGTGGCCAGGTGAGGCTGGAGTGTGTATGGGGGGAGAAGGTGCCTGTGGCCAGGTGAGGCTGGAGTCTGGGGAAGGGGGTGATGTGCCTGTAACCAGGCGAGTCTGGAGTCCGGAGGGTACCAGGGTCATGATACAGCCACCACTTTTGGCTACCTACTTGCTTATATAGTTCTGTATACTGTTACACATAATTTTTAACTGTGATCATATTAACAAATGTACAGTGCTTTCTCAAGATTAATTTGAAAATTGTTTGAATAATAAACCTTAGAGTATTTAGGGAAGTGTGTAGCTTGGCTACATGCCCTTAGGGTGCTGCATTATTTGGAAATGTGGATATGTGTCCACAGAGTGCTGTGGTGTCAGTGATGTCACAACTTCCTCGGTGACCTAGAGTAGTGACCCTAGTGGTGATATAGCAGTGTAAATAAGTGTGTTTAGCAAAACAACAACATTGCAAAATTGAGGAAAATAAAAAAAGTTAGCTTTACATGTCCCATACTGGGGAACCTTGACAAGTAAGAAAGGGATAAATATGAATGACAACTTAAGCTACAGTGGTATAGATCCATATGATATGCCAGCATCACTGTCTTTAGAAAATGTATCATTGTTACTAGCTGTTATGTGTTCAGACATTGGGAACTATTTTGTATTCATGACCGTGTACATTAGTTGATTAAATAAGAGTGACACTGTAAAATCATGCGAAGGAAGAGAGCACATGGCTGGGTAGGTTGACCGGGTCTGGACAGGTTCGATTGGGGCCAAATTATTTAGGCTGTCATATAGAACAAAAATCCCCTATTTTAGCAGAGAAATATTGTATACTGTATATCCTGCGCATACACTTTTAAACAATCAGTTATTTGTCTTAATATTAGATAATGCATTTCTTTATTTTATTAAGGCATTGTTTTAAAATGCACTACATGTACAATATGCTAGGAAGTGGTTCATAAAGAGCTAACCCTCACTTTCTCTAGTTACTGGCAAATATGATCATTAGAGATAGTGGCCCTTGGCTAAATTAGGATATGTTTTGTGTAAAAAAAAAAAGAGGACTTCTTTTTGTTGTTGTTGTTGGAAAGATCATCCCTAATATGAAGTATGAAAGCATTCCTGCAAACTCATTTTGAAATTCAACTTAAATCTGTTATGTATACCATATCATTTTATTAATGTCTCTTCTTATTACAGTCTCCGTGGTGTAGTGGTAAGACACTCGCCAGGCGTTACGCGAGCGCTTTGTCATGGGTTCGTATCCTGGCCGGGGAGGATTTATTGGGCGCAAATCCTTAACTGTAGCCTCTGTTTAACTCAACAGTAAAATGTGTACTTGGTTGTAAAAACGATTCTTCGCGGTGGGGATCGTATTCCAGGGACCTGCCCGAAACGCTACGCGTACTAGTGGCTGTACAAAAATGTAACAACTTTTGTATATACAGTATCTAAAAAAAAAAAAATGTTATTAGTTATTTGACCTGAAGGGTAATGGTAATTATCGAGAGAAAGCACTAAACCATTACAACTATTGTATATAGAACTTGGAAGGGATATGAAGATAAGAATTTAAGATAGGACAGAAGAAAGGAATGGTGTCCAACCACTTGGAGGGTCGGGGAATGAACACCAACCTGTAAGAAGCAAAATCATCGCTCTACTGTCCAGTCCAAGTGGTTGGTCCTAAAATGCAAGCTAATTTATTTTGTAGCATTTGAAGGTGTAAAGCTATGTTTTGGTGTGTAATTGAACATTACAAATTTTATTTTTATATTACAGAAGTGTAAAAAATGGAGGATAGACTGTTGGCTCGCATTGGCCCTACTGGAGGTGGTGATGTGAGAGCAGCTTGCAAGAAATGTGGATATCCTGGTCATCTTACATATCAGTGCAGAAATTTTGTTAAGGTTTGCAAGTAAATTTGAATGTTTTTTCTGAGCTTTTGATAACGATTTTGCACATGATTTAATTTGGAGAATTATTTAAGCATACGGTGTTACCGCCTTTTACAATCGTAATCCATTCCCAGAGACTCGTTATCAACCAAAAATTTGTCAACCAAAATGAATTTTTTCATAAGAAATAATGTAAATTGAATTAATTTGTTCCACACCCCCAAAAATATTAACTTAAAATACATTTTATATAGAATACTACTAATGTTTTTTATACACAAAAAATCAGGTATACAGTTCCATACACAAACCATAAATAAAATAAGTGAACATTTAAGTGCACTTTACCTTTACTGATGACTCTTGGTGGCGATGGTGAGGAGGGAGGGAGGAGCGGAGTTGGTATATGGGGAGAGTGAGGAGGGAGGAGATGGTGGGACTATCCCCTGCTTGTTTTAAACACTTCTTTTTTGTCACTAAAAACTTGGAAAATATAGGTTCCCCTTAAACCCTATGTTCTCATGCAGCTTTAAGAATTGGCCTCTCTCTCCTCTTGGTATCATAATTCACTTAACTCTCAATGTGTGGTTATTGAAAATGGTCATACCTGCCTATGTGGAACAAAATTACAAAAATTACCAAAATTTATTTTTCATTAAATAATTAATAAATTGTAGGAAAATATAAGAACAATAATAATATATATTAACCCCTGAGAGGTGCAGCTTTTAATAGCCTGAGGGTTAATAGGTTTGAATGCTTTGGTCACTATTACTACTAACACTCACTATCTTACAAATTCCACGAACTGCATAATCTTCACAATACCATGCTCATGCCAACCATTTTTCCCCATCCAAGATCATGTTTCTCTAAGTTAGCTGTCTTATTTATAGTAAGGAAGTTTCTCTTACTGTACCTGTACTACTCTTCAAATAATAACTAGCAAATAATGTTACATCAAAACAAATGCCAGTGGAAATTATTAACAAGTGGTGAGACCAAGCACATACTCAGAAAACACATGGTTGGGATTTATACCCTCAGTAAATCTGGGTGCCACTGAAAAAATGTCACACTCTTGTACAATTTATACAGTACAAGCTTAGTAAAACATTTTTTAAATTATTTCAAATTTTTATTCACTATTAACCCTTGGACAGCAGCAGTGGAGGAATGGCCATACCCACCAATGCACAATAATAAAATAAAAATTCCTAAACTTACTTTTCATTGTAGAATTATTAATTTGTATGCAAAATGTAAGAAAAACACTAAAATAAGTGAATAGTTATAATTTCACTGGGTGGAAGTGCTCAGCAAGGCTGCATCTGGCACTTAACACCCAGTGCTAGACTTTGGTGATGCTTCCTGTTTTGTCGTCGAATGTTTTACTGATTGTTTTATCACATGGTTTTTCTTTACTTACATCTACAAATAGCTATTATATCCAAATTTGCATCATACATGTAAAAACCAGACAATGATTGCTTAAATCGTCATATGACGATAACCACATTACCCTAAGGATCGTCAATAAACAATAATCACCATCTGAGGATTAAAAGAGCAAGATTAGCAAAACCGAAAAAATCATACTACAGTATCTGATACAAATGACTTCACTTGGCAGACACCAACAACTTGGATCTTGCTGCATTCCCTCTAAAATCTTATTTTCTGTGGGGAGCCCCATTGGCTTCCTGAAGCTATTCGAACTGATATAGTGCTTTATTAGTTTGTGGATTATCCGGCTGACTGTCCGGATAGTGTAACATCGACAGCAAGTTAACCGGCTCCGATTTTTTATCTGGCTAAACCAGCTTTTATCCAAGCTCCCATGACCATTTTGGCCGTATATTGAGAACCTTATCTGGTCACGAATTTGGCCATATAAGGATGTTTTCCAGATGTTCGAATCCCGGATAATCGAGTGGTTACAGTACCTTTTCTTTCGGTAGGGGCTCCGTTCCCTTCGCTGTTGATGGGGCGCTGGGGGGAGCAGTTTGCTCTGTTGGCTCTTGCTTGGTCCCACAGTTAGTGGGCGCTTTTGGTTGTCTTCCGGCCTCTGGTAGCGGCGGACGGCTTCTCCCCCTTTGGGGGGTTTGGAGCTGGCGGGGTGGACTTCTTCCCCTGTGCTTCGTCTTGTCCAATCGCACCCACCAAGATAACGTGGTCAATCCACCCCATCCTTCCGGGGTTCCCATCTGCTCTATGGAGACACGAGCCTTGCAGATCTGCAGTTCTTCTGGAGATGTTCAGTCTGTGCCCTGGATTCTTTGCCCTCTTCAGAAGACTGTTGTCTCCAGTCCGGCTTCTGTTGGGGCCGGGTGCCTGGATGGTGGCCCTGGACCTCTGGGTCACTTCTTGGCACGTTCCTCTCCGCCAAAAGGCTTGCCGCTTTTGTTGCCTTCCCTAGTTTGTAATTGTCACTTGGTGTATTTATGCATCTTTACTGGATCTTGCTGCCCTGTCTGCTCGGGATTAGGTGTTTCGCCTACCTCGACGACCGGCTGGTGTGGGCTCCCAGTTGGTCTGCTTGTCTACTCGCCAGGGGTGTGGTTCTTTCCAGGTCGCTGGGTTCGATTTCCTGGTGATCTGGAGGCCGTTCCATCTGTTTCCGTTCTGGGTTCGAATCTGGCTGGGTCTTGTTTAGGGCTCTTGAACAGCTCCTTGTCTTTCACTCCAGAAGCATTGCTGCGGCTGTGGTCCTGCCTACAGCTGATTATGAGGGGGTCCCGGGTTGCTCGGCGGTTGCTCGAGCAGTTGCGCGGGAGTCTGAACTTCGACGTGCTGGTCTGCTTGCAGGGTCGGGTTTGGCTTCAGCGTCTAGTTCCTTCGGGGACTTCCCTTCCGTCTTTCTTGCAATCGTTGGGTTCGTCCTCCGGAGATCTTGTGTTGGTGCTGCATCACCAGCTTCCTCTTTGGGGTTTTCGGGGTTCCATGCCTTGGCACCTCCCCGAGCCTTCGCTCGATGTGTTCACAGACGGGTCATCTCTCGACTAGGGTTTTGTGACCATTGCTCACCAGGTCAGCCAGGGATGGTGGTGTCTGTCCGTCCGTCGGGCTCACAGCACGAGTCGGGAGGTCGTGGCTGTCTGGTATGTGCTTCGGAGGGTTCGGGTCACTCGGTGCTCTACCATTCAGTTCCATTCAGAGTGTTCTCCGGTGGTTTATTGCCGGAACCACAGGGTTTCTCTTAGGTCTTTGACCTTCGGGGTTGGTCCCTTCGAGTGGCTAATTTGATGGATTCTCGGGGTTTGGCTAGCCATACGGTTCATGTCCGGGAGTGTGTCCTACATCCTGGCGGACAGCCTGTCTCGGTTCATTCCTCTGTTCGCAAGGTTGGCCGGTCGTCACAGACTTGTTTGTTGGCTCTGCCGAACGTGTGGATTTCTGGCCATGGACATCTTCGTGTCGCCGTGGTCTCGGCGTCTCCCATTCTATTTGGCACCCTTACCCGTCTGCGAGGCGTTCACGGTGGAAGCCTTTCGGCAGGACTGGTAAAGTTGGGGGGTACCTGTTCCTCTTCTCCCGGTCCAGCTGTTGCTTCGGGTTCTGGCTCGGTTGGAGTCCATTCGCTAGGAGAGTAGTCCTTGTGGTCTCTTGGTAGCCGGCGCAGCTTTATTTTCAGATGCTGCTTGATAGGTGTCCGAACCCGGGGCGTTTTCCTGCGGCTCCACCTCTTTTGGCCGGTCGGACCAATTCTGTATGTGACCGGTTCGGCCTTCTCCTCGGCTCTTCACATCTGGTTTTTTGATGCGGGTGTATCACCATCTCTGATAATCAGGTGGCTTTGTTGATGGTGTCCCACCTGTGAGCTTCGCCTCGGCGACAGTATGACGTTCCTGGTGTTTCTGTTTGTCATTTTCTTGCTCTTCGTCATTTTCTTGCTCTTCGTATGTTGTCTTCTCTTTCACATCGGGTTGTCTTGTCCTTTCTAGGGTTGTCAGGACTGTTAATTTGATGCTTCTTACTGTCACCTCGTTTCATGCGTTGCTGGTGGAGCTGCTCCGTCTTGCGTTCGGGGTGGACGTCACATCCGCCTCGTTCCGTACGCTTTCTCGTGTTTTTTTTACTTCCAGCCTGCTCATGCAGCGCCTGAGCCGTTCTGGTCCTTGATCAGGGTGCCCTCTTACCTTTCTTCTCCTCAGTTTGTGGTAGCCCTTCGGTTCAAGATTGTTTTTCATAGGCCATATTTTGTTTGCATGGGCCTCTGCGGTTCGGGTCGGGGAGTTTCCGGCTCTCTTCCTGTGCAGGGGTTTCTGTTCATTTGGTTCTGGTGGTAGGTTTGTACGTTCGCAGCCTTTCTCCGTTCTTCTGGCGACGGTCGAGACGGCTGTTTTCTGGAGGGGTCCTTGGGTTATTGATGCTTGGTTGGTTCGGCCGAGGGTGCGTCATGTGTTGTCCTGTTGCGGCTCTTTGCTGTTACCTGCATACCATGACTGGGGATGCGATTTGGGTTGATCCGGTTCCCCTCATTCCCTGTTTCAGGGCTTGGGTCTCCCAGGTCGTCCTCAGAGTTTTTAAATCTACCAGCCTGCGGTCTATCCTTACGCCCACGTCGTTCGGACCTTTGCAGCTTTCGCTGCCGTGTTGGTAACTTCTACGGCTCATTTTGGGCGCGAGGATTTGGGGGTCACACAGGTTCCTGGCCGCCTGTTCTTTGTGAGCAAGTCTGCTCCTGTGCGTTCTTGTGTTGCCTTGGGTCGCAGGTTGCAGCCTGTTGTCTCGGCTTCGCGTTGCGGAGTTTGTGGCGGCCACCTCCTGGGTCAGCCCTTTCTTTTCCTTCTCTTTGGGTATGAAGCTCCAGGAAGCCGTAGGGGCTCCCCGCAAAAAACCGGCATTGAATGTAATGAAACGCCGTTTTCTGGGTGAGCCCCAGAGGCTCCCTGGCAACCCTCCCTCCCCACTGGTCGGCGTTTTTTTCGCGTTGGTTGAAGCTTAGCTTCTAAACTAATGCTAGGCAGCCTGTCCGGTGAGGTCCGGGGTCCCCCTTCCCCTCTCGGGGCAGGAAGGGCTGCGTGGACGATCGGCGCGGCAGTAAATTGTGATGTTTGCTTGTTTCCTTGGAATTGTAGGGAGTTTGCTTGTTTCCTTGGAATTGTAGGGAGTTTCTACCTCTCTGTTCGGTTTTGTGTTTTAGTTTTTTACCATGTGGGGTTTTTGTTATGCCTACCTTTCTGAGTGCTTAACCTCGGTCAATGGCAGATAGGAAAACCCCAACCACAAGGGGTTTTTCCAGGGCCATTGCTCCCTGAAACCTCTGAAGGGGCCAGGTTCTTGCGCTGGTCCTTGGTAGGTCTGAACTCCTTAGCTAATGTCCCGGTCTAATATAACATACATTAGCCTGATAAGCTAATGAATTTATTATAGCTAATAAAACCAGCGTTTCATTACATTCAACGCTGTTTTTTTGGTAATATGTCTTAGGCTGACATTCGGGTATGGGATTTTGGAGGTTGAACAGGGTCCTGGCCGTCTGTTGTGAACGTTCCGGGTCCTGTGTGGCCTTCAGCCGTTGGGTGCTGCCAGTTGTCCCGCCTTTGTCATGAGGCGTCCAATGCTGCCGCCGCCAGGGTAAGTCCCCTTTTTCCTTCTATGTGGTATATAGCTTCAGGGAACCATAGGGGCTCTACCCAGAAAACCAGCGGTGAAGTCTCCAATCTGCTGGTGTCAGTGCTTGGACGCCTAGGAGGGGGTCGCTAACGAGCGAGCGCGCTGGTTGAGTGGATGCTTGTTTGTTGTTTCCTCTTGGGAAAGGAGTTCTTGGGCTCTGTTCAGTCTTGGGTTGCAATGTTTTTACCAGTTGGGGGTTTGTAATGGTCCTCCTACCTTTCTGGGTGATACTCCCAGTTGATGGCAGACATAACTATACTCTCACAAAGTGGAATGTTCTTAAGCCATTGCTCCCTTTGCTTCTGAGGGAACCAGGACCTGGCTCGTGGTTTCCAGTAGGCTCAAAACTCCAATTAACTGATGCTCTTGACTAATATAATAGATATCAGCCCATTAGCTTCAGGGAGCTTCCAGGGCTCAACCCACGAAATGACGTTTCATTACATTCAATGCTGCTTTTTTGTTGGCTTTGGCCTCTGGGTGTCAAGTTGGTGAGCTTCATGTTCTTCTCAGATGTAGAGGGTTTTGCTTCTCTGGTCCTGGAGGTCATTTTTGTTTGTTTGCAGCCCCCTTTCCTTCTTTTCTGGCAAAGATTGGAATGGGTGGCTTCCGGAAGAGTCCGTTGGTGGTGGATACTTGGTTCGGCCCAGGGTGCTTCATGTCTTATGCCCAGTGATGGCTTTGCATAGCTACCTGCGGGTCACTGGATCGGTGACAGTGGATGTGCTCTGGGTGGATCCTGTTTTCCTTGTTTCAGGGCGCGTGTGTATTAGGTTGTCCACAGTGTCATCAAATCTCGTCAGCCAGTGGTCTACCCTCGTGTCCATGATATGCAGGAAATATGCTGCTCTGGCTGCTGTTTTTGGTAACATGTCTTGGGTTAACAATCGGGTGCGGGTGTTTTGGTGGTTGAACAGGGTCCTGGCAGCCTACTATCTCATGAACGTTCCGGGTCCTCTCTGGCCTTGTCATGGCCGAATGTCTCTTCATCTTGAGCCCTGCGGTGCTGCTGCCTCCTGGGTAAGTCCCTGTTTTTACTTATCTGTGGGTAGTTAGCTTCAGGGAGCTGATGGGGCTCCCCACAGAAAACCAGCTTTGAATGTAATGAAATCCCATTTTCTGGGTGAGCCCCGGAGGCTTCCTGACACCCTCCTTCGCTCCGGTCTGTGATTTTCATCATTCAAGAACTGAAGCGAGCTTGTTCCCCCCTCCTCTTTGGGGGAGGGGAAGCACTGAGTGAGTGTGCTAGTTGGATGATGTGTTGTTTGTTTTTCTATTTTGGGGAGTTACAGTACTGTATTTTACTTTGTTTGGATGTAGGTTGCAATTTTAACTAGCTTGTGGTTTCGCCTATCTTTCTGGGGGCCTTTTCTGGTTGATGGCAAGTATGACATACTCTGAATGTAGTGCTCATAGGCCATTGCTCCCTGCGCCTCTCTGAGGGGACCAGGCTCTAGCTCGTGGTTCCAGCTAGGCACAAGAACCCCTGTGACTGATGACCCCAAACTAATAATGTACATGTCAGTTTGGGTAGCTTCAGGGAGCCTCCAGGGCTACCCCCAGAAAATTGCATTTCATTACATTTTTTTTTTTTTTTTTTTTTTGCAAGGCTATAAATCCATGTACACCTTAAAATATTTTAGCATACATTTGCAACAAGTTGTCTCAATGTAATTAGTGTATATGATTTATACCCTCTTCCACTATGAAACTTGTCTTACTCATCACTAATCAGTTTCTAAGTAATTGACCAAACTCTTCTGATCACTATTCTTCTACTTTGGCCACTACACTGCAAACTAATGCCTCTATAATTCCTATTCAATATGTTCTTTATTTGTATAGTATTTCAACTGTAATTATTTTTACATACAGAGTATATCTCGTGAACACTAGCTTTCCCCAAATTTCAGCTTCCTCATTGATGTACTCATTTCTTCTATAGATATTGGCTGATATAGTATGCTGCATTTTTCTTGCCATGAAAGCCAGTCACATTCACATTAGCACCTTTTTAACACACTCTTCTAGTAGACTTTCAATATTTTATCAATTTGAATATTTTGAAACTAAATAGCGTTTGTTATTTAAAGAGTAAATTTGCTTTTAGGTACAGTAATCCCTTTAAAACACTTCAGCCAGTCTCCATAAAATATGTAACCTGCGTACAGTACTTCGGCATATAGCAGGGTATATCAATTTGGAGTGAACTTAAATAGTTCACTCTATTTATTTACGTTTTACTTCATTTTCGTTTTACTGAAAATAAATTTTGTTGGCATCAGGAATTTGTTCTTGGCAGTTCTTGGCCCGTCCTCATAAACAACGGTCAAAGTCCATTCCATGCACCCGCCAAACCTCCTGTTTATGAATGGAAAAACGGTTTACACACGACTCACAACCGATGTCTGAAAAAGCACTTTGTAACAAGTGCTTTGCTGACGACTTGTTCGAACCACAACGCTGTAAATGCTTTACCCAAGTACTACAAATAACCACCAACAGAACCTAAACACCTAACCTAACCAATACTTAAATATGCACAATATGCTAATACATGTACTGTATATAATAATATTTTATTGTTTAGAAAATTAATATTTTGAATGAACAGTTTAGTTCATTTATTATGCACCCCATACCCATCTTGTGGGCAGTAGTGGAAAGGGTTACAGAGGCACATAGTGGGCTCAGGGACTGAACCCCACAATTCATTTAGCTAAGCAAGTTGCAATCTTGATGAGCTAGAATGAACAGTGTATTAAAATTTATGAATACTGGAGTTGACTGCTGGATGGAATGGACTTAGTCTGAGGACTGGTTGGTTCTTGGGGAAAAAGTTTAATAGTTCATTATTAATATTAAGGAGTATGAAGGGAAGTTGTTACCATTTTTGTTTGCATTACAGGTTGACCCTAAGAAAGATGTTGTGCTTGATGTTTCATCAACTTCTTCAGAAGAGAGTGACCATGAGACACCTTTGACACAACTCCATACTCAAGAACTTCTAGCAAAGGTAGTATCAAAGTGGGATCTCTGCTGGAAACTTGTTTTATTGTGTCTGTCCTACCTTCATGGGAAATGCATAATGAGGAAGATACCATACTAGAATTAATTAACACCTAAGTATTTCATTTTGACATGTCATTTGTGTTTTCTTACACGAGATGAAATTAATGCAGGTGATGAGTAACAGTAATGTGGCTGAAGATATGATGACCAAACCATGTCAGAAAATTAAGAAACGACGTTGTTTTGGTCTGTCCTTTGGCCATTATCAAGTTTTGTAATTACATGTCTTGATAATGGTCCAGGATGGACTAAAATGTAGTAATTTCTTCATTTTCTGACGTGTCGTTTGCTCATCAGAAAATTAATAACAGTAAATAAGAAAAAATGATGATAGCATGTTCAAAATTTAGGCACAATTTGGTTGGATCATGTTCGGTGAATTCTAGGACCATTTGCTTTATTACAACAGAGTTTTGGTTATCTCGAGTTGCACGTTATTGTTAGTTATTCTTTATTCTCTGAGTTGTTTATCAAGTAAAATATGCAACAGACTTTACTGAAACAGTAGTATATGGTGAAGGTTCTGCATAATCAGTATTGTTGTGCAGCAGCACATACAGTACGTTGGAGTAGAGATCAAGGAAATGTAAAATAATGAACTGCATTTGTGTTACTTTGGATGTAACATTGTCACTGCTCTTATGGTGTTTACTCCCTTGGCATTCAAATGGCTCCAGTCTATCTGCGTTAACCTCCAATGCTTAAATAGTGATATGAGGTTTTCTGGGAGGGCTTCAAGGTTGTTACTAACCCTGTTACTAACCTTTCTATTTAGCTCTGCACTTATCAAATCACAACAGGCCCTTGAGTCATTAATAGCCTACTGGAGACCAAGGGACAAAACCCTGGCACTCGTAGAGGCTCAAGTAGCAGTGGATGCTACTTGAGCTCACCCTTGCCAAGGAGATCTCTCCTGCCTCCTGCGCTGCCATCTTTTTTTTTTTTTTTTTTTTTTTTTTTTTTTTTTGAGATATATACAAGAGTTGTTACATTCTTGTACAGCCACTAGTACGCGTAGCGTTTCGGGCAGGTCCCTGGAATACGATCCCCTGCCGCGAAGAATCGTTTTTTCATCCAAGTACACATTTTACTGTTGCGTTAAACAGAGGCTACAGTTAAGGATTTGCGCCCAGTAAATCCTCCCTGGCCAGGATACGAACCCATGACATAGCGCTCGCGGAACGCCAGGCAAGTGTCTTACCACTACACCACGGAGACTATCTCTCGTAAAGGTATTCCTTATTCCGACTTTTACCCGGTTATCCATTCCTCCATCCTTACCTGTTAGCAGGCTTGTTGGTCGTCTGTTACTGGTAACAAACTATGTTCTCTTAAAGGTTGTGTGTCCTCATGGCAGTCCTACCACCATAACCGGCGATGGGAAACGGCTCTGGCGAGGTTGTGTATTGGCCATACTCGCTTAACTAGTGGTCACTTGGAGCGCCACCCTGCTCCTTATTGTCCTAATTGCATTGTCCCTCTTACGGTCGTGCATATCCTTGTTGAATGTCCTGACTTCCGGGACGAGCATGTGTCTTGTTTTCTGACCATCCCCCGCGGATGCTTGTCTCTCGATAGTATTGTTGGTGACTCGGATACTTTTGATATCGTTCGCCTTATGCGTTTCTGTTCTCACATTGGCGTCCTTGGTGATATTTAGCACCCTCTGATTATCCCGCACATTTGATGATGCTACATAACCTTCCCGATTTGGTGCCTTCTTTTTGATAATTACTTACTTTACTAGGATCTAGCACGCTCAAGAATCTTAATCGCCGCCACTACCAGACCGATAACCAATGCTGTCAATTAATCAAGGTCTGGACCAATTAAGTAACCATTAACCCTTGGGGTAGGTCATCCCCAATTTCATGGAACGGGAGGTATTAGTTTACATTAAGTGTGGGAATTACTTGAAAATAAGGGAATATCTCTGGTATTTGGAAAGATTAGGCCGACTTGAAACCTGGGTATCGATTTAGCCCAATAAAGCAGACTCGTGGACCAATTGGTAAAGACAGACACATAATGTTTGGAAATACTAAAAAATACCAAAGAAAAATCTTAATCGAAGTTTATTAACCACTTAACTGCACCAACCGAGAAAACTTTTTTATTTTTTCATACCCATTCTAAATGTGTGCGAGGTTGGTTGTGTACGAAATGGACTCTTAGGACTTTTAGTGAGAGGCAGCCATCTTGGAAAAAATTCCCAGAATGCCCTAGGGCTGCTGGCTGGGTTAGTAGTGAGTGACCATGGGTGGCGCACGCACCTCTGGCACCCAAACACCTATCCGACGCGGTGTTGAAAGATCGCTCTATCGGTGAAATTCAAACCTTATTGTTTGAAGAACATAAGGGTCATAATATTGAAGCTAGGCGCAATAAGTACCTAACACAAAGGTCGGATGCAAGTGATACAGCACCTATGAGGACGATACAGTGAGCGTATCCAATTGTAGCTCTGAGCGCCATCCTTGCCCACCTATGCTATGCTATCTCCAATTTATTTGGATGATACATAGATGAATCGTTTTCTGCGTACAGTGATGAGGGGCCTCGTGGCCTGGTGGATAGCGCGCAGGACTCGTAATTCTGTGGCGCGGGTTCGATTCCCGCACGAGGCAGAAACAAATGGGCAAAGTTTCTTTCACCCTAAATGCCCCTGTTACCTAGCAGTAAATAGGTACCTGGGAGTTAGTCAGCTGTCACGGGCTGCTTCCTGGGGGTGGAGGCCTGGTTGAGGACCGGGCCGCGGGGACACTAAAAAGCCCCGAAATCATCTCAAGATAACCTCAAGATGATGCATCTGATACAAGTAGCATAGATGAAGAGTGTTAGTGGCTTCCATGGTGGTGTTTTCCATAGATATTTTCAAGAGTAGCTGAATTTCTTCTTGACTGACGGACACTCTTCGAGGCTGGCTGAATCTCTTCCTGTATGGAAAAAGATCACTTACAGAGTGATCTTTTCACGACTACCTTACAAATTGATCTTTTCCTGTAATCTTTTCAAGACCACCTTATGTTTTACAAGCTCGGCTACATACCACCTACAGGTACTAATGCAACCCGTTCTCGCACTTTCGTATAGTCAATATTGACTTATTAAATACGTGCATATGTGACATACTAATTTATTGTGAATATTTTAGTTTACCTTGAAAAGCTTCATAGAAAACACCGACCTTACCTAACCTTCTTAGTATGTTAAGATAAGCATCTTATTGCTTTGTAATTACAATTATTACTTAACCTATTATAGGTATAGGTTAAGTAATAATTGTAATTACGAAGCAATAAGATGCTAATCATGAACAAACAATTGAAAATATATTTGTGGCAACACCCGGTGCTTGAATGGCCCGTGCGACCGTGTCTGGGCGATTCATGCACGGGCGACCAGCCCCTGATGACGTCACAGCGCACCTTGTCCACGTCCCCACAGCCAAAGTAAGTGGAATTTTGTATTTATTTTTACATAGATATGTTCCGGGAAGGGAATTTATCATTTTATGAAGAAAAAAGAATTTTTTGAACACTTTTTTTTATGCGCACGAGGGAATTTCACAATAAACTCGGCACAGCACGGTGGTTAATGCAAAGCTATAAAAAGTAACTAATAAAATTCACTCCCTAAAAACTTAACACTGCCTAATCTGAATGTACCAGAGGCAAACAACATGAATATTCAACTGCACACAAACTCTTAGTACTCTACCGTAATCTTAGAAGCCAATCTGATGATCGTCTGGCCTTCGGGAGGTTGAGATGGTGACCTGCCCCGATAATAATATCACACTGCCAGATTATTAAATTACCAAGCCAGGTTCATTGAACAACTATTCTCATCTGACCAAACCAGATTGTTGAATTCCTATTAAAACTGGTGGTAATTCTATTAAGCATCTTGGAAAAAGCTATATCCAATTACAATATTGGCTAGTGAACTTTATTTAATTAAGGTGAATTCACAATCCGAAAGACTGTGGTCACAAAAGCCGCGTGACTGTGACCTAGGGGTAGGTCAGGGTTACGCTTTGCAAGCTAGTCCCCCTACTATAACTGATGTTGCTGTCTTTTTGATGGTCTACTAACCTTGATCTTTATTCTACATATATGCTTAAACAGATTGGTTATTACCACAATTTCAGTATTATTAAATATAATGTTAAATATTTAACTTTAATTTCTTCACATTACTGAATTAACAAGATGGAGTCTTTGGGGTAGAGGGAGGGTGGAGGTGAGGGCGAGACGACTCCTGGTGACCTGACCTAAGGGTGGTATTGTCAGATGTCTCGTAAGTCATCTGCACTTGACGGTATACATCCCTGATATCAAACTTTACATTCATGTTAGCCTAGCATACATACTTAATCCAGATTGGTTATTACTGTATCTCTTTTTAATTATCCATTATTTGTTGAATTACTACAAAAGAGTTGGCCATCTTTTATTCTAGGTGCTAATCCTTAAAGCCCAGGGAAGATAACCCATGTTTGCCTCCCTGGTACAGAGTACCACCAGCCTGCATTTTTTTGAGACCACGTGGTTCAAATTTAATGTCTATGATCTGAGGTCTATAATTTCTACAAGCTAGTTTGTTACATTCTTTCCCAGCTGGCCGAGTTGGTTTCATCGCAGGTTCAGACCTGGCTAGGCCTTGTCTTGGATTCTCGGCTGGCTTACCTTTCTTTGCTGTAGATAGTTCTGCTTCACTTGGATGTGCATCTCCAGATGGTGTGGGAAAGTCCCTGGGTTACTCCACGGTAGCTTTGGGAAAGACTGAACTTGGAGTGGGTGGTTTATCCCATGAGTGAACGATATGGAAGAAAATGCAAGATTGAACCAGTGAAGAGCAGAGGTGCCATAGGCATAATCAGAGAGCACTGTATAAACATCAGAGGTCCGCAGTTGTTCAACGTCCTCCCAGCGACTAAAA